TCTGGCGCTTTTGGGCTTTTTCGTCGTTTTGAGCGCTTTTCGGCGGAGTATGATGGTTCCTTATCGTGAAATCAGCCCAGTGTCTTGTGAATGACTCACTCAAATTGCTGCGGATTTTCCTCCATTTTCTCATGGCAAACATTACATATGCGAACTGGCAACTCGTAACCCATGCGAGGAAAGATGGTCCAGTTTGAACAACAAGAACCGCATACAGCTTTTCCACAAGTTCGACAATGATGTTGTCGTTGTCCTACCACCTGAAAACGTCCCGATTCAGCACATTGTTATGGGAGAAACATTGAAATCATGACCTTTCTTTGCCACATAGCTGTGAGATTCCAGAAAAAAGGTGCATCGCAAATTTCACAGTTATCAGCGGTCTTCCAACCAGGTGTTTCCAGTCTTCAGATTAAGAATTATTATTCAAAGAAATAGACACATGATATTTATATGACCTGTTAGCAGACATGTCCCAGCAAACAAGCTTTCCTGCATCATCAGCAGAAAAAAGGCGCGCTGCACCCGGGGCGATCACTAGACTGGTGATTTTTGAAGAATGTCCGCTAGAAGAAAATCGCTTTGTTTAAAACCGATACTCAACAGATTGCAGTACTTCAGCTCATAAGCTTCACCACGTTTTCCGCCAATATCCCACATGATCACTAGATTGTCATAACTGCCAGAATAAAGAATTTCCTTCACTCTGTTCCAGGCTAGCGACGATACCGGCCCTGTACTTCGATGTTCCTATCGTTTACAAATGCGAGACAAATCATAACTCACCTGTGTGAGCACTCAGCTTGCTCACCATCTGCGCTGTATCGCCACTTAATCTCAGAACGACTACATTCCCACCGTGGTCACCGATAAATACAAAAGGCAAATCCATAGCCATGGCCGTACAACTGCTATCGCAATGGAATGCACCTGCAACAGAAAATGTGTTCTGAGTCTTTGTTATATTGCGTAGATTGCTACCTCGTTTGATTCCCGTCTCTGAACAATGCCAAACTACTGATTTGTCTTTTGAACAACTGAAAACAAGCTCTGCACTCAATGCGATTCCTAACCCTGATATGGGCCCAGCATGAATGGTCCATCTGAAGCAGCGTGGTTAATAACTAATCCACCTTGATAGCTTATAAGGAACTGGAAAATGGATGATGAGACAAAGAACAGTGATTTAAAAACAGTGACAATATCAAGAAGTTCCTGCATCTATTTTCCGTTACCACTGAATTCTCTAGAAGGTTTATGAGCGTTTGGAAATCCAAATTCGGCATTTAAATGCAGCAGATCCGAAAATTCGAGGCTCAGAACTCTTATTCTGGATTGTAACAAATTTTCTCCCTTGTAATCATTCAACTTAGGACCACGCCAATTACGCCCACCTGGGTTGGGGACTATACGTCGCCGAAAGTGGGAGGTCCCG